GTGAAAAAATGCTTCACATCACTAGCCATTCAAGGACTTGATTTTAATGTTGAATCTAACTTATTTTTAAAAATAATTCATTGTAGATTATTTTTAAAGAGAATAAAAAGTAGTGAAAAAAATGAAACAATATAGCACTTAGCTAAACAAAATGATAGGAATTCAACAATGGTTGGTCTAGTGCATATTGATGTCTTCAAATTAGTTTCTCAGATTACCAGATATAAACATGCAAAATTGGTGCTACTTCTTTATATTTTGTTTTGTTTGTTTGTTTGTTTGTTTGTTTGTTTTTGCAGTACCAGGAATTGAACTCAGGACCCTGTGCTTGCAAGGCAGGCACTTATTCTACTGAGCTATCTCACTGACCCTAAACATGCAAAATTGGAAAAAAAAAAAAAAAAGTCAAAAGAATCAAAAAGAGAAAAGAATCTAAGCATTTACTGTTCCTTTTAACAGACCAGCAGAAATACACAGCATAGTTATCCTAGCTATCCTGTTTATACATATACATTTTCCCTAGAAATATTGCAGACTAGTTTTGTTGTTGTTGTTGTTGCTGTTGTTATTGTTTTTAACAAAGCCCATAATTCCCTTTCATCGTCTAAAAACAAATCTTTGAAACTTATGGGCCAGGGATATAGCTCTGTGGCTTAGGTGTCTGCCTGGCAAGCACAAGGTCCTGAGTTCAATCTCTGGCACTGAAAAAGTTAATTAATTAAAAAAATTTATTTGCATCTGGATAATGGCTTAAACTGCAGCAGTGGCAAACCCATGGCACAGATACTGCAGAGGACTGTCTGCATCGCTGGGAGCTCCAGAAAGCTCCCACCACTGGCTTAGAGGGATGCTTGTATGTGTGTGTGTGTGTGTGTGTGTTATTATTTTTTTTTTTGGTGGAACTGGGGAGGGAACTCAGGTGCTTGCCAGGCAAGTGCTTATTCTACTGAGCTATCTCCCCGGCCCTGTGTGTGTGTTCTTAAAATGGAATGGAATATATGAAATCAGAGGGCCTGGAAAAAATGAGATATAACTGACCATTGTATGGAAGAAATTGCTATTTGAAAATGAATTTATTCAGCACATATGAGTAAATGATTTAAAATGTATGCTCTAAGAATTTTACAGTATAGTCATTATAATAGAGTTTAAGATTGTGCTACTGTGTTTTTAAAGTTAAACTTTCATAAGAAAGTGACTACATTAGATAAATTATTGTAAGTTGAACATGTAATAAATAATTTAAAAAATAAATCCAGTCAGTTATCATTATAAATATTTTCTAAATTAATTTCCTCATTTGGCAGAAAAGACCAATGTAAATGATAAAAGGGTACTGTAACATTTTGTTTGGTTACCGTAATCATAACAGAGTTAAAATTGAAAATAATACCTTGGCCTATGTGTCTAGAATTAAAATATAATATGACATGTAAAACATGATTCTTGAGTCACACCATTCCACTGTTTTCCAATGCCTGTCACCTAACAGCATATTAATAACCTGCCCTTGGTGACACTTATTTCAGATGTAGTAATTTGTTTATTTCACATATGTCTGCTATTTTAATTAGTGACTCTTGGTACATCAAAGGACTTCATTTTGTCAAAAAGATAAAACTTACATTTGAATCTGTCAACTGTCTAATAAAAGTGTTTGCTTTATATATTTTACATTTCTGATTAGAATATCTAAATAAATCTGCCACTAGTGTAAAAGATAGGCATATTCATAGAAACACAGTGTATTACTATGAAAAGTTCATTAATGCATATAATTTGAGTATCACATATGTGCAATAACAGTATAAAATGCAAGTAAAACTTAGTTGCAGATACTGGAATACTCCACAAAATGCAATAAATTAGCAAATAAACTGAAAAGTATGTTAGCTGATTGTCAGGAGTTTCACAAAAATACATGATGAAGAAGGGATGGAGGGAAAAGTAAGGAAAGGATGAGAGAGAGGGAAAGAAAGCAAAAAATAAATAGGGAAAGAAAAGGAAAAAGACAGGGGCCAGGGAGTTGGCTCAGTAGAATAAGTGCTTCCCTGGCCAAGTGCAAGGGTCTGAGTTCAATCCCCGGTTCCACCAAAAAAGGAGAAAGAAGAGAAATGTCTTCAGGTGTTGGTTGTCTGGGAAGGATTTGCTTTTAATGTTGGTAGACTTTATGGCCTGGGACACAGCGTGGTTAAGCAAATCACCTGTGTCAAGCGGTGGGCTTTGGATTTGTGCCTAGACCTTTAGACCACACAGTGCGCTGCATTAATTTTATTTTCTTTGTTGTTTGGAAGCAGAAGTGACAGAATGATTGAGCTTGCAGGTGAGTCAGGAAGGGTTCAGAATAAGTCTCTGCTAGACAGAGAGGACAGGAAGGGCTTTGAACGGGGAGAAATACCCGCAGCTGGGCAGTGCGGATCATAACTCCACGGAAACAAGGTCTCTGGAACTGAAAGCTGCCTAAGAGGCAGGAACATTGTCGATTTGCGGACGACTCATCCCTTGCTAAAGATTTAATTCTTTGGCTCGGGATGGCCAATGCTTCGTGCAGTGAATCTACATAAATTTATGGACATTGGCTTATATTTTCAAGCCATGGCTTTCAGAGCAGCATGGAGGTTTAAGTAGCAGGAAAGAAAAGTGGAATCTAAGAGAACTTTTAGAAGGCTATATAATGATTTAGAGATAAATTTTCAATATAGTTAGAAGAAGAGAAAGAGAGAAATAGTGAGGAATACTTATAGAGCATTGCTAAAATCTGACCATTTTCTTCATGATAGAGAAGGAAAAGGAGAAAAGGCAAGTATAGCTCAAATTTTTCACTAAGATACTAGATAAGACATTAGTTAATTGCATTAATTGATAATGGGAAAGACAGAAAAGAAATAAGCTCAGTGGTGGAAGCAGAAGAGTGTGTTGTGTTCCAGCGTGTAGACTTTGGATATCTAAATGAGGACTTGTATAGTAACCTGGAAACATATCCTGTAGCTCCACAGATAATTCAGTTTTGGAACAGAAATTTGTCTGTACAAAGAACGGCTATGACAATCCCTAGGCAGGACGCAAACAGAGCATGTGTTTTTATATGCAGGAAAGAGCCCCTAGCCCCAAATGCTCGTCTGGGACTGGGAATGCTGTGAGCCAGGCCTCTGGCGAAGCAACGGTGAGAGAACCTTGAAGGGATTAATCACAGGACAGAAAGAAGTCTGGCTGAGTAGAAATACAGAAGACGTGAAGTGATATTTTGATGTACTCTATAAAATTCACACTTAAAAATACTTTTTTTTTTTTT